ATGGAATACTGTGAAACAAAATAGTGGTCACTACTTAGGATTGAATCATTATACTTCACCAGGAATTCTACCTCCTCTTGTCAAGATGATTGGGGAGAAGGATGCATACGCCTGCTTCATTTTAAGAGAAGATAGCTGGTTGTTCACAGACTGTCTAAACAGCAACATTTCCACAGCATATGTTCAAGTCTGTCTTATTGTTTTGCTACCACAATGCTTCAGTGGAAACTCTTCATAGTACAGAAGACAGCAGAACTTTTTACACTAACTTGAATATAAAAAACTTCTACTCCACAAGACACCTATAGATTTATTTGGGACATTAAGCCTCAAGAAGTGACCTGTTTAAAAAAATGTAACTCAACCCTAGAAGTAGGGAGGCAGGGTGGACAATGCCTTTAGCTTTCCAGTAGCTCTTTAAGGCATATTGGAAACATCTCTTCTAACCATTCACTCAAGGTTTTATATGCCCTTTTTAGTCTGATGGAAGAAACAAAAGTAAAAATTCAAACCTTATGTCACCTATCTCTACCTTTATCTTTTTAAAACTCTTCAAAAGATTCTCATTTCTCAGAAGTGGGGAAGGGGCTCTTTATATAGGACTCTGCTGTACAATCATGATGTCCACCGCAAACTCTAACAATCTCACTGGCCTCTCCTCTCTCCAGCAGACCAAGATCTTGGCTCCAAGTCTGCCGCCAAAACTCACTACCCTCTACTCCTCCACAAACACACTATTCCCTCCCTGCGATGGCTTTTGCCTCTTCTCTAGTTTAATATACTTATTCATCCATCTTTGTCCCTCCCTCTGGGAAATCTTTTCTGACTGAACTAAATGGAAGGCTTTCATAGGGCTATTTACCCACTTTCCTAGCAATTATTGTTGCAACTTCACTTTCTTGTGTCCGTCTCTCTCGCTAAACTGCAAGCTTCTGGAGGACAGAAACTGTTCCTAGTTTTGCTCACCCCAACGCATAATGCGTTCAATAAATTTCTACAATGACTGAAATAAATGTATTTATACCTCTGCTTTCTCCTTTTTTCCTAACGCTGTTACCACCAAAACAATTTTAAAACCCAGTGATTCTCACAGACTTCCAAGAGGTCGGATTTGTATTAAACCCACCCTTTACTGGGTCTCGCTGCTCCCTTTTCTGGAAGAAGGGAGATCTCACCAGATCATTAGTTCTGCGTCGGAAACCGAGGAACCAAGTGCGGACCACCCAACTAGCTGTACTTCTATTTTATTACAAGACTGGGAAAAGAGAAATGGGTATGCTTGGAAGACCGCAAAATAATCCCCCAAAGACATCACCATGCCTCTCAAAGCTACTCGCGCTCCCTCTTTCTCAAAGGATGCAGGATGTTGCGGGATACCGGAGAGAAGCTTCAGAATAGAGCTTCCACCAACTCCGAGAGGAATCTGGGGGCTGCTGTCCGCACGCCCCAAATGCGAGGCTGGGAGGAAAGCCTCCGAGGGCGCTGCAAGGAAGAAAGAAAGGGTTCGGCCCGACAGTCCCATGCCCGCGCGCCTTCCGCGCCCCTCGCGCCGCCGCGCGAGCGCGAGCCGCCGGCGGAAGTGCTGCGTCGCGCACTTCCGGGTGTTGTCTGGTCGGTGTCGCCGCGCATCTGTGGTCTCCCGGCTGCCGCCGCCGCCGCTGCCGCCTCGGATCCTGGAGTCAGGAGCGACGTCACCGCCATGGCTGGCATCAAAGGTGGGCCTGGGGCGCTGGGCGCCGGAGGGCTGGGTGACCGCCCGGAGGGAGGGAGAAGGGGGTCCCATGCGGCCCACGCGCGCTGCCGCCCCAGCTCTGGCGCGCGCCACGGGGTCCCTGCTCCGGAGACGGACCCCGGGCCCCCGCCTCCGCCCTCGCAGCTTGGGAGCGGAGGTGGGCGCGGCGCCCTCTTTGAGAGGGCAGCCAGGACGGCGGTTTCTCCATCAGCCTACACTTTCTGCTGATTTCTGCAGCCTCTCTCCCACCCATCGCCCCCCGTACAAGGGATGAAGTCCGCGGTCTGTTAAAAGTCCCGCTGCGACTCCGGCTATCAGACACGTTTTGCAGGAGTTTGCATCCGAGAGAGAGGACGGCGGAGTGTGGGTTTGAGGGGGTTGAGGCCACTAGAAGATGCCAATTATGGAAAATCAGTGTCGTTTCCCATTTAAAGGCGCAAGTGCGATCTTCGGGTGCTGAGCCGAACGAATCCCTCAGGAACGCCCTGGAAGGGTTTAGGGACGGTTTCGAAACCTCGGCGATCACATCCACTCTCATGACCTGTATACGCTCCTAAAACTGATGCATTTTCATTTGTTGTGTTTGTCGGATAGACTAGACCCTGTAATCGACTCCCAAGAGC